TAGTGCTCTAAAGTGCACATTCAATGACAGTGATGCTCGTGCATTATTGTGATGCTTAAGGAAAAACAGAAAAGCAAGTGTTCCACAGGTGCTGAGATTGACGGAGGCAAGAACAGCCCATCCAAAACTACAGAGAGAGGGACGTTATAGTAGAGTTGCAGTGCATAATCCCAAATAAATGCACATTTCAGAGTTTAGTGGTATAAAAACCAAACACTCTGATCTGTAGAGATGTGGAAAACAGTGATCTGGTCAGATAAGTCATCTTTCATCATATTCACCACAAGTGGGTGAGTGCATGTGCACTGTACACCAAGAGAGCAGCACAGGCCTGAATGCTTGACGCCTACTGTGAGGTGGCTTTGTTATGCTTTTGTGGGGTGGCTTGTTGTTGGTATGGTTTGAGTTCACTTGTCTCCTGAGATGGAGAGGTCCCTACAAATCACTACAAAGTTATTCCGACTTATGACCTTTATCCTGTGATAATTTCTGTCCTGCTTAGGGCTGCAAAAGCTAATTGACATTATCGATAATGTTGATAATAAAAAAGTTGTACGCAACAAATCAAGTGATGTTTTTTCTTCTTTTACACCATGTGACTGAAAGAGGGAAATACACATAGAGGGATAGTACCAGGGCTTGCACAAACCAAAAAATGTTTTACTTAAAAAACGTCTAAAAATATAGTTTTATGTAAAACTGAGCTCAGCAGTCAGCGTGATCATCAGGTGCGAGTATGAAAGAGAATAAACACTACATCCTTGATAGAAACTCAGCATGATGAGATACTAATGTCTTAATAAAACTGCAGGCAAAAGCAAAAAAATAGCACATCACTGTCTGCTTTTCAGCTGATTCTGTTTTAGTTTAGCAGAGAGAATAAGCAACATGTGTCAAAGGGAGCTGCATTTTGAAACTGCTGGTTTAAACTGCTCATCTAAACTACATGGGCATCAGGGTTGCTTGTAGGCTAATTAGGGGTGTAAGAAGATATTGATGCAGCTCAAGCATCGCAATTTTTTTGTGATACTGTATCAATTCTCAAAAACACAGTATTGATTTTTAATTAATAGTTTGCATATAAGGATTTGTGGCAGACTGTGGTTCATTTTGTGATTAAAGCACCGACCGCAAGATAGCAGTGTTGTAATCTTAAGCCATTAGATGTTTTCTTTTACTTAGATTTTATGCATATGGTGGTATGTTTTTTATGCTATGACAGTTTTCCTAAAATTAGATTTTAAAAGATTGGATGTGTTTAATATTTTTCTCTGGGTTTTAGCTTCCGAACACTTGAGCTTTAGGTCACTGAGATGTTTAAAACTCTATCTGCGGTATTTGAAATGTAGATAAAGACACATCATATACATGTAAAAAACACTCCAGCACGCGCTGGGTATTGCCATTTTCCCTGTGATGAGCTGGTTTAGGTCTCGGTACGTGACACGGCTGATAACCGGACTTTTAGTGTGTGATCTGTAATATCACATTTTATTTCATGATGTAATCGACCGCACATGCTAATTAGGAGTATAAGAAAGCATCGATACACTTGAGTATCGCAATATTACATTTTGTGATACTGTATCGATTTTAAAAACACAACATCGATGTATCAAATCAGTATCAAATCTATTTAATTTATTTTTGCTTTATCATTAGAGGAGAAATACAGCAAAGATTAGTTTATGTTGTTCCTTTGTTGTTTCTGTATTTTCAGGAGCAGTGCAGAAATCTGTTACTGCTCTTTAGTAAAGCCCTTTTTTAGACGATGTAAATTTCGTTTTATGTTTTTATGAAAGAAAATAATTATTGTGTTGCTAATTTATTGAGTGAAATATTACTGCCACACAAATGTCTGCAGGTTTTTGGTTCCCAACTAATTGATTAATCGAAGTCGTAACAGACCAACAAATCGGTTATGAGCATGTTTGTTAGTTGCAGCCCTAATCCTGATGGGAATAGGATTTAGAATAAAAATAGAATTTTATCCGGGATCACCGTGACCCCATCTGCAGAGCATGAGGGGTCACCGAATAGTGTTGTGAGGTATGAAAGTGATATCACGTGAATCATATGCTAGGGTCACTAAATCTCGACCCAAATGAACATATATGTGAGAGTTTTCTGGACTGACATGTTAGACAGCCTCTCCACCAACATCAAAACACCAACTGAGGGAGTAACTTTTGGAACAACAGTGCTCCATCCCTCCAGTAGGATCTGTGCTAAGGAGCAGTCTGCTCTGGTGGCTCTTGGTGGCCCAGCATCTTTCTAAGACTCGTTTGTTTCCCTTAATTTGTTACATGTCTGTACATCTGTGAAGAAATGTTCATAGTATTTGCACAGGATAAATTACCGAGATGGAAAAGACCTACTTAGGATGTGTAGCTTTTAAAACATGGTATTGTGTCTTAAATGATAAAATATGTTAAACAGCATGGCCACATGTAAGCAGAGCTACATATGGAATTACTCTCTCTATCTCTTACTGGAATTACTATCTCTTATGATGGCTGTAAATGATAAGTGAATTTTAAACCTTTTGTGCCTGTGTCTTTTATTCAGAACAGTTTAAAATATTCTGTCATTGGGATATTCAAAAACTATTTGTTTAAAAATGCAGGTATTCACATGGCAAAAATGATTATGATGCCCATCCCTGTTATTGTTATATATTCCCTCCTTTTTAAAACCCAAAATTCAGATGCAGCAAATGAGTGCAGAAGGAGACAGAATGTGAAAATAAGGTGATTTTGCCCTTTGGTCGTACTGTAGGTAATGGGGCTCTGCAGGGACACCGGGCTGTTAATGAGAGAAATGCCAGCTGACTGGATCTTGATTGCCCATGTGCTTGAACTGCTGCTCATTAGCTCCTTTAGCCTGATCCAGCCTGATGGTTCATTCCCAGTAATGGCGAAACGCTTTGTGGGAGAGCAGAGTACCATTTTCAAAGGCTGTCTTCTCTCTCAAAGTCTCAACCATCTGCATTCATAAAAATCCATGAAAACTGTACGCAAAGCCACCTGTTTACTTTATTGGAGGAATGAGTATTAGAATATATGGGAGGCTACTTGGGGGTCCGACTCACTGCAGTCATATCATTTTGTATGCAAGAAAGAAATTACTCCCAATACTGCAGCTAGTTACCCAACATAAGGATATTCAGATAGAATGAAAAAGGTAATGTTTTATTTTTAAAATAACTTTTGACTGAGCGAGAGATGAGGAAGCGCAGTGTGTGTCAAGACACGCAGCTGTTAGTCATGCACCAAATTGAAAATTCTTGGTTGAAACTGAAACCGAAATTTAGGACACACTTTTTCTTCTTAAATTAAAAGAGAAATGCTTTCATTATTAATATGAAGAGTTAACACAAGCTTCATAAAATGCTTACTGTATGTAATCTGCCTATGAAAACCAGCATCATTGACAACAGAATGGTTTACCATCCATTGCAGTGAACAGCATTGTTTTTAGTTACACTTTGCACTTTGACACTGACTGCAGATAATGTCAGCCTGCTAGCAGGGATTTTCTGTTTCTCTTGTTTTGCTGTTTTTTTGCATATCGAGCAGGATGCCTTGTTGTGAAGTGGTATAATGCTCTAGGATGTCGTGTCCTTTCTTGATTCTCGACATGAATGACGATTACAAATTTCTTGTCTAATGACCTTCATAGAAACTGTGAAATGGTTCCACGCAGTTGATCTGCTGCCACTCAAATCAAACATGTCTCATTGACCAGCACTGGAAAGCGAAGGAAAAAATAGTGATTTAACCCTTGTTAAATCAATACAGCCATAACAATTTATGTAAAATTACCAGATGTTTAAAATATCACAAGTGTTCAGCATAGGGTTCTCCTTTAGCAGCTGTAGCCGGTCAGCAGCCGGTCCATGTTGGCCACCCTCACACACACACACACACACATACAAATACATAGACACACAGACAAACACACACACTAACAGCAGGCCATGTAGGAGGAGAACAGAGTGAAGAGACACAGCACCTCCACACTTTTATTCCCCACGGGTTCAGGCCAACACCACATGTGTAATATAAATGTGTAGGGGGTGAACAGTGTGAAGTCACTGAAAATGTGTTATTTTATATGTTCTTCGCAGAAAATAAGCAGAGGCCAAGGAATCTGAGGTTGAAATAATAATAAATACCAAAATAAAAATTATGCAAAACATTGAAAATGGATCTTACATACCCGAACACCACAAAAGGGTTAAATCACTATTTCTCATTTTCATTATATTTAAGTGGTAAATTGACAATTTGTTCCAGACCTGTTCAATCTTCTGTTTTTTCAGCCAAAGTATTCAACCTTTTACTCCGAGAACCGAAACTTTTGACCATTTTTGGGTAGAAATGTTTGGTGACTAAAATTCAGCCACTAACTTCTTCCATTACAACAAACTACAACAAGCAAGATGGAAACATAAAAGACCAACTCCAACTAATGTTTTGAGCTAGGGGCTCACTGCTTATACCACTTACAGCAAGAAGCGGCACCTAGTCTTCCTGAACAGCCTTCCAGTTTTGGAAGGAGCCAGAACTGCTCCAGTAATACCCTCTCCCTGTTCTCCTGCTGGAATACGCAGAGACATGGGAAATAACACCTGCTGCAAGTTCCTCACGTGTAATACAGCTGTAGTTTAGGAGCACCTGGGTTTTAACTGAAGGCTGACTGACAGGGTTTTTTTTGTTTTTTTGGGAAAATTGTGTGTGTCGTATCTCAGAAAAGGCATTCAGTTATTTTGAACTGCAGGCGCTGGTCTTCCTCCGGAGAGTTCCCTCCTGATCTGGGTTTTGGAATTTAATAATTTCCAGAAGCCGCTCCGAATTTGCTGAAATGGTTTTGGAGTTGTTATTGTCGTTTTGAGTGGCGTGCCGTTAACCATGCTAATCTGCGCTCCGCCTGCATGTGTAGTGGCGCAGTGGGCAGTGCACAGTATGACTGACTGACTGTTAATGCTTTGATTACAGGCTTCATCACAGCAGCTTAAATTCACTACGTCAGACTCGTGTGACCGCATTAAGGACGAGTTCCAGTTCCTCCAAGCACAATATCACAGGTACTCTCTCTCTCTCTCTCTCGCTCTCTCTCTTTCAATTTGTTTTCCCATACACCACACCCACACACATGCTATGGTAAGGCAGGGCGATACTTGACATTTTCATGTTACGCATTATGATATTTTGTTTGGAAACAAGCTGAAATGAACAAAATATTCCGGCATTTGTAAAAGGCTGTGAAAAGTCTATCAGAACGGTGGCTTTTTTAATTCAGTGTAGAAGAAACAGGATGAAGAATTAAACAAATAATCTAATAAAATAATGGCTACTAGTAATTTGCTACTTCCTATGTGCTTTATGCAGTTAGAGCAACTGTAGTCTCAGCCTCAGATTCTTTGTCCACATGGAAATGGCCACAACTGTCAGGATTTTGTCATTTGTCAGCGTTTTTTTTTTATCCTTTAGATGGGAAAGTAACTTGTTTTTCCAGCTAAATTCTAGCCAGCAGTAGCAAACAGCTGCCTTGTGGGCATTCTGATGAAAAATGAGCCTTTCAGAACATGTATATCCTGTGAAAACATATATATTTTCACAATCAGGAAATCGTTTTGCATCTGTGACCAGTTATTCACTATAGAATCTCTATAATTGGTTTAAATCTGTCATTATGATCCATGCATTTGTTACTCATGATATATTGAGATTTAATTAATCACGATAAGAATTGGATACGCAGCAGTGAGTTTTTATGGGTGATTCTGAGTTCTTCGCAGCCTAATTGGCTGATGCCTGGTTTTTTGGTTGAATTTTTACAGTATTTCCCACTCATAGGCAAGACAAGGAAAGTTGATTTTTACAGCATCTTTCATACACAGCATCACTTTAAAGTACTTTACACCAACACAGAAAAATAAAAGCATTAAATAATAATAAATATTACAGCTTATGACGTCCTGAGATCTAGCACCTCAGAGAGGCTTTTGCAAAGATAGTTGCAAAAACATAATTAGAAGAAAGTGCCCAGTACAGAAATAAAATCTAGAACATAATTGGAATCTAAAACAAAGGACGTAAGTGTTACGCTAACACTTTATTTGGAGTGCTCCTTTGTAGATGATTAATAAATTCTTAATAGATTATCAGTAACACATCAACAACATGTAAGTGAAATAACAGTATTGAAGCATGTAAATACACTGAAGTAAATATCTTGTAGATGTTCTGTTAATACATTACTTACATTAAGTAGATGTGTTGTTTAATATGTTACTTCCATTACGCAAAACCTAACCTTACCCAACCTTACTCAAAACCTAACATTAACCCTGGCCCTAATTCTAACCTTAACCTGAACCTCAGCCCCAAACCCAACCCTTACCCTGGCCCTAATGCTAACCTTAACCTCAACCCAAAATCTAACCCTCACCCTGGCCCTAATCCTAACCTTAACCTCAACCCAAAATCTAACCCTCACCTTGGCCCTAATCCTAACCTTAACCTCAACCCAAAATCTAACCCTCACCCTGGCCCTAATCCTAACCTTAACCTCAACCCAAAATCTAACCCTCACCCTGGCCCTAATCCTAACCTTAACCTCAACCCAAAATCTAACCCTCACCTTGGCCCTAATCCTAACCTTAACCTCAACCCAAAATCTAACTCTCACCCTGGCCCTAAATCCTAACCTTAACCTCAACCAAAAACCTAATCCAAACCCTCACCCTGGCCCTAATCCTAACCTTAACCTCAACCCAAAATCTAACCCTCACCTTGGCCCTAATCCTAACCTTAACCTCAACCCAAAATCTAACTCTCACCCTGGCCCTAAATCCTAACCTTAACCTCAACCAAAAACCTAATCCAAACCCTCACCCTGGCCATTATCCTAACCCTAACCTTAACCTCAACCCAGAACCTAATCCTGACCCTCACCGTGGCCCTAATCCTAATCCTAACCTTAACACTGATGCAAAGCATCACTCTTCTCCCATGCGGTCATTTCTGTGACCTAAACCTCCACTTCAGCCAAGTCCACAATGTGCTTCACATCTAAAAACCAAAAAAAAAAACATAAGAAGTATAACATGATTTATTTGATTCCATATTCGAATACCCATATCATAAACAAATGTTATGATGTTTGGATATCCATACATTCAAAAAGCCCCTCCTCCTTACTTGGCCTGCATTATTTACGTCGTAAAATTGCAGCACAGATCGGCCAAAATAAGTGTAAAAATTGGTAATTAGTGTTTGCTTGTTTCCGATTGTGCACCCTTAATAACAATAACATTTTATTGGGCACCTCGAGAATGTAGCAGCTGCTAACTGTTAATTATATTCTTTGCTCTGGTTTACAGTTAAGTGTGAGGAGAAAAAGATTTTGTTGAATAATTTCTTGTCTTTTCAACCTGTGATCCGAGGTCGAAGGTGCTGTGCAGATTTATTGGGTAGTAGAGCTCTTGCTAGTGTCATGCTTTGATTTGTTAAAGACGGAAGAGATAAAACTCTGTAAGAACATGAAGAGACCACCGTTCTTCTGCCATGTTTTTTTTCCCTTCCTTTCTTTTTTTTTAGGCAACATGTCTGTGCATCAGCCTCCCTCCTCCTATTCCCATGACAACGAGCATGCTGGCGTTTAACCCCCTTCCGCATGTGAGGCGTTTAGAAGAATAGGGCCCCACATTTCCTGTGTCTATTCAGACCTTCGATCTGCCGTCATTGACTTCAATTGAGATTCCAGAGACAAGGCGCCCCCCACCCCACCCCCCCCCGCCCTTCTTGCGCTGCGTTCAGCCTTTTAAAGGAAATGTACTGCAGGCGGTCTCCTGAGCCCAGCCGAGCTGTCGCTCCCCCCTGCCAATGCATAAATAGATCAGGGAATACATAAATCAAAATAAAGATGACAGCAGGAACGATTTGGAGGCGAAAAGCAGCGGCAATAAAACTACATCAGTGTGGGTTGTTTTTTTTTTTTTCCTTTTTTCTTTTCTGTTTTTTTATTTTTTTATTTTTGACAGCATCCTAGGAGGCTTCGTGCGGCCTCGGCCAATCAGGGACTGGCATGGCCAATCACAGGTAGCCTGGCAGCAGGGAGGATGGTCGCTATGACAACCCCCAATGTATGTTAAGGCTGGTTTTTTTGGAGGGAAGAGAAGGCGGTTGCCTTTTGGCTAAGTGGAAGCACCAAGCAGTGAGAAAGAGGGAGAGAGCGAGACCGCCTGTCATTCAAGACTAGAAATGAACATTTCGGGCTACAATTTTAACACTGTCTCACTGTGAAAGTATGGTTGTTTTGCCAGGCTGTGTCCGTGTTTTCTCTGCGCTGTGTTGGCTTCCCTGTAATTTAATATTTTATCATTTTGTTCACATGATACAGTGAAGCCTTGGGTATCTTTGGTCAGCCTCCATGTGTGAGCTTAGTACAGTTTTAGTGATCTGAGTGAAGTGACCACACACAGATTAAAGAAGAATTCTACCAATTTTCAACGTCAGCGTAATTCAGTTGGTGAGATGGAAACAGTCATTCAGAATGGTTTTATTAATGTAATTCATGTAAATTAATGTAATTCATGTAAATTCATGAATTATAGGGAACTTAATGATTCAGATTTATTTACAGTGGTAATGATGTCTGCAACACAAATATAGCCATTTTATTTAATATGTAAAATGACTAGTGAACATTCATGCATCTTCTGAGTGTCTGTATATAATGTTGATAATACGGTGGCCAACAAGATCCTATTCACAGTACAATTAAAGACACATTGAGAACGCATAAACAAGCTGCAAACACAGAAAACACTCATCACCATGACTACATCAGAGCTACATTTTACAAACACACTGCAAATCAAGAAAACTCGGGCAACTTCGGAAAGCTGCAACGCCAGTCACAACACGACAGAAGCGTTTCTGGAAGACTCAAAGTGGATGGTGTATATCTGTGATGGAAAATCATTGAGAGAAGTAGATCAGACACACATCCCAAGTTCATGGGCACACTGTAGCTGTGCTGTGGTAGTTAATCTGGTGTTATTAGTTAAACTTTTACAGTTACTCTGCAGCTAATTCCCATTACAGTGCAGTGATGTCAGTAATCTGCTCAAATAAAAATTATTTGAATATGAATGTTTCTGCTGCATAGATTTTAAAAGTCTGAATGGCTCCATCTTCTTGCTTGTGTTTTCTGTATTTGCAGCGCGTTTATGAAATGTAGAGCTGTGTCGTCATTTTGATGAAAGTGAGTTTGCGGCGTGCCTAAACGAATTTGCAGTGTGTTTGTAAAGTGCAGCGCCCATATTGTCATTTTCATGAAAGTGACTTCGTGGCCACTGTATGATGGTAAAGTAGTGCTAAATCTGTTACTGTTTTGCCTTACAATGATCTACATGTAGCTCTTTGGAAAAATAAAACACTTCGGTACAAAATGTTATTTCAAAATAACAATTATCTTAAAACAGTGTGTCGTGCATCAAGCAGTTTATTCATAGGATTTTAACATAATAGCTCCTGTGAGGGAGCTTTTAGAGGCATTAAATGCTTCAGACATCCGGTTCCTATCACCACCACTATGATCCATTCTGATTCGACCAGTTTCTTTAGAAAACAGCATTTCACATCAGACCATTTTATATTACTTAGTTTACATTTTATCAGTTTAATTGTTCAGAAATGTTGGAATATTGCTGCAAGTCCTGTTTAAACTATTGTGTCTTAAACTATTTGGTGTTCTGGAAGATATAGAAGCAGGTCTAACTTTTCCTTTCCCAGATTCCATTGTATTTTCCATATCTAAATGACTTACTTTATCATATCAAATCAAGGCTAGTCCCCTGTCTAAGATAATTTACCAAAGATTTCATGAAAACAAGTAACTAATGTCTAGAAATGGGTAATCTTAAAATGTGTAAACAATAATGCCATAATGAGATATATTGAATTTATTGAGTGGATTTAAGATGACGTCACACGCCGTGATTTATTTTTTTCAATGTGTCTGCGTTATTTGCCGTCCATTGTGGTGATGGAGCTCAACTAAACGAAAAAACTAAATATCAACTATTAATTTGCTGAAGCTGAAGTCCATATATTGTTATTTTATTAATTGCATTTAGATCATGACATCACAGCATCAGGATTTAAAAATCAATCAGTTTGCTCTGAACAGAGCCGCTGTTGATTTCATTCCAACACAACATTCCTAAACTGGTTATAAAATATGGAAAAAAAGGTTTATGTTGGAATCCTAGCAAAATACCAATTCCAGTTAATGTTTAGTCTTCATACTGAGTCCTGGCTTCAACTGACATTTGCTATCATTCAGTGCAGAGTAGAGTCAGTGGAAGAGAACAGTGAACTGAATTCTTCAATGGCACCTTTGTTTATTGTTGTTTGTGAGCTAATTATGACAGCAATATGACAGGAATGCAGAAGGTTTTTTATGTTTCATGGGTTTTTCATGCTGTTATTGACTCTTATTGGGTGAGCTGAATAATGTTTGACCATGTAAATGCTAATCGGATAACTGTTGCTGTTTATTTACTGATTAATATTGGAAATACTCACCTCAGTTCTGCTTCGTGTGATTTCATCTAAACTGCGAGTGTTGTTTGTAATGATTGTGTCTCTTTGCTCTCTGCAGTCTGAAGCTAGAATGTGACAAGCTGGCCAGTGAGAAGTCAGAGATGCAGCGTCATTATATCATGGTGAGTAACACGCACACCGCTCTCCTCCCACTTACTGACCCGTCCACCACCTGCCTGCTTTCATCTTACTGCACCCCCATCTCGCTCTCTCTCTCCCTTATATATATATATATATATATATATATATGTGTGTGTGTGTGTGTGTGTGTGTGTGTGTGTGTGTATATATATATATATATATATATGTATATGTATGTATGTATGTATGTATGTATGTATTACTTTCTCTTCTGCTCTTTTATCTTTCTCCTCACCTGCTCTGTCACTACTTCTTTGTCTTCTCCCCACTTCTTTATCCTCCTCTCTCTCTGTCCTCTGTCTTCCTCCTGCCCCACACCTCACCTCTCCACTCCTCTGTCTCCCTTTCTTTTTCCTCGTCTTCCTCTGTCTCTCTCTGTTTATCGCTCTCTTTCCTCACCTTTTCCCTCTCTCACTCCTTCTTCTGTATTCTCTTCTCCCTCTCTCTCTCTGTAGCCTCCTCCCTGTCATGTGACCTCTCTGCTCTCTCTCTTTCTCATCCTCCTATTCATCTCTTCTCTTCCCTCTCTTTCTCATTCTCTTATTCCTTTCTTGTTTCGCTCTCTCTCTCTCTCTCTCTCTGCCGCTCTGCTCTGTAATCTCATTGTCACTCGCCCAGGCTCCGTGTTGCTGTCTGATATCCCGCCTCTAATTGATCCGCCCAGCGCTTTAATCTGATCTAATCTGTGCAGTATTGCTCTTCCCCATCATCCACCTCTCCCCTCCTCCATCTAATAGCCTATCGGGTTCCTGCACCGTCCCAGGACCCAACCAGCCAGAGTGATGTGGTGTATGTGTGTGAGTGTGAGAGAAAGAGAGAGAGAGAGCAAGAGAGAGAGAATTGGGGGTGTTCTGAGTGGGCAGTAATTGCTTTAGTGACTAGACAGAACTGTGTCTTGTTTTAAAAGCACACTTAAGACCTTCCTCTTTAGTCAGGTCTTTAGTTAGCTAATTATATGTTTATTTTATTGTGTTTTATTTAATGTTTTTTGTAGATGTATTTGGTTTAGTTATTTTGTTTACTTTTACAATGTGTTTTTTTAGCTTTGCTTTTCCTTTTTGAATATTACTGTTTTAGTGTATAATCTTTTCTTTTACCTTTGGTCCCCTCTGTGTGTTAAAGTGCTTCTACTTCTGTGGTTTTAGTTCTGTAAACTAAAAAAAGTTCATATATCATTGCTGTTCAAAAACACCATGTATCTCCAATATAGTAAAACATTCTTAACTTTTAATGTAACTTAATTAGGGGTGTAATCGTACTGAACTGAAACCAAGATGTGTGGTTCGACAGTCTGTGGTTCGGCTCACATGCTTCCAGCAGTGTTCGGGGCCAAAGTGTCCTCTAGCTCTACCTCTGCTCAGGCAATAACACAGGTAACAGGTCGATTTGTGCCCACTACGAATGGTAGATACTTATGGATTCTAGGGCTGGGCAATATGACAATATATATCGCTATCGTGATAAATTATAATACAATGCAATATGCTTTTCTGAACTGTGATCATGGATATCACCACTATTTGTAGAGCACTGACCAACTGCGTGTTTTGTTTTAAAGAGAGCAAAATTAGTCCTGTTTAACTGGATTTAGTGCAACACAGTGTGTGAAACACTCAGTAGAAGTCATTGCATACACAGTTTTTGATAGTATTTTTTTAGATGTAGAACTGCTGGTTACTTTTTCTCAGTTCTAACTGATGTCTCAAAAAAAATCATGACATTGGCTGTGTTTACATGCAAAGATTTTTGCCAAATCCGACTGAAAACAATCGGATTAGAGACTCAGACTGTGTTTATATGCACACTCTATTCAACAATTTGATGGAAAATCTTCGTTTACATGTTCACTACAAGTAATCCGATGCAAAACGACGCGAATGCGTGGAGTAGTGCTTAGAGTAAACGTTACCATGACAGCGAACATCACGTGAGGTTCTGTCCGAGTGAGATGAGTTTCCAGTTGGCGCCCTTGTGTTTTTAATTGCTTTAAAATGATGTCAGACTCAGGAAAACGTGCTTCACATGTCCTTATTAAAGAAGTTCTGAGACACATAAGCTGGACGTCCGTCCCACCGCCGTCTTTTAAAGCTCAGAGCATAAACTTCATCTCCCCTGCAGACCAGTTTCTGTTCCGCCATGTTGAACGTTATAAACTTTCGCTATGATGCCACGCACATGCCCAGAATGTATTTACACGTTCCGATTGGAATATAATCGGATACAGGTGTTTACATGGTTATTATTCTTCTATTTAACGGATTATTTAGAAGTTTACCCACCTCGTTCAATTCCGAATGGCCTCAATCGGACTAGACTATTCCGATTGAGGTGTTTACGTTGACGTATTCTATTCCGATTGAGCTATTAGTCGGATTATTAACGAATTATTAGGCTGCATGTAAATGTGGCTATTGTGTATCATGAACATATGTTGTCAGATTCAAAATTGGTTACATTTTTGGATGCTGAACCATAAACCGAACTGTAGCTCAGAAACCGAGGGCCAGACTGCAGCTTTTCTGTTCAAATGGTATATTAAAAAAAAAACTAAATACAGAGATACTTACTTACTTACTTACTTACTTACTTACTTACTTACTTACTTACTTATTTACTTACTTACTTATTTATTTATTTATTTATTTATTTATTTATCTATCTGGGACAGCGACAATGTAAAAATTAGTATTTAAATACAATTTGTTTTGTGTTTTTCTTCTTCTTCTTGTTGTTCTTCTTGATCATTTGTTACTGGCCAGGTAGACTTTACTGCCAGTGTAAATATGTTTGTAGTCCCTTGTATACACACACACACACACACACACACACACACACACACATACACACACTTGCTGTTTCTGTGGGAGACGTCAGCTTGTCTGACAGACAGCCTTTCCCTGACTGTAAGAGCTATGTATGATACCTCAGCGCGTGTCTCACTAATGCCGCTTATCTCTCCACAGTACTATGAGATGTCATACGGACTGAACATTGAAATGCACAAGCAGGTGAGCACTCTTTCTCCTCATATACCAAATCACCTACGTCAATTAAAGGGCCTGTATTGTGCGAAAATGAATTCCCCCCCCCACCCCAAGTTTATATACTCCACGTATGAAAACTAAGCTGCACAAACAAAAAAAAAAATAAATTGTTTCTGTGGTGGGTTGGAAAACACCATTTACATGCATTCACCTATTCAGCCTACAGCAGTTTAGCCCCACCCATTCATACTAAAGTTATAAGGGTGCTTTTTAAATGAGGCTATGAGTTTGACTGGGTGTGGATTGATGGAGCTGCTGTGACAGGATCTGCTGTTCCTCCACCAACAGCAGCACTGTTCATCAGCCTCCTCTGCACGGCGGCGGAGGAAATACAGAAAAAAAATATGCCGGCAGCAAAGCAGCGTGTGTGTGTGTGTGTGTGTGTGTGTGTGTGTGTGGACTGTCTGCAGTGGAGGGTGAGAGGTGCAGGAGAGGAGGAGTGCAGAAATGAATGCAAAGAAGAATACAGTGTTTTGTATGCAGCCAACTCTTTCTTTTCCACCATTTCTTGCTTCCCCTCCCAGCCTTCTCTCTCTCTCTCTCTCTCTCTCTCTCTCTCTCTCTCTCTCTCTCTCTATTTTATCCCACCCTCTCTCTATCTCTTTCTCTACCCACCCCCTTTTTTTCCTTTCCATTTTATCTTAACATTTTTCTCTCCATCTCCTCTCTTTCTCTGCTTCTCCTCCTCTTGTGCTTCTGTCTCTATTTCACCCTAATCTCTCTCTCTCGCTCTCTCTCTCTCTCGCGCTCTCTCTCTCTCTCTCTCTCTCTCTCTCTCTCTCTCTCTCTCTCTCTCTCTCTCTCTCTCTCTCTCCCCTTTTCTTCTCCCCCTCCTCTTCTGTGTTTTTTGTCATGCAGTGTGGTGTGGAAGTGTGGCAGGGCATTGTGCCAGCACTGTACCGAAACAGTGCTATTGCTGCTTCTCCCTCTTTGTCTCTGCCTGCCTGTCTCTCTCTCTTTCTCAGCAATTACACAGGTCACACTCTTCTGGCATGCACAGCCCATCACCACCCACCTTTTTGTGATACTGTGGTGTGTGTATGTATGTATGTGTGTCTGTGTTTGTGTGTGTGTCTGTGTGTCTGTGTGTGTGTGCACACTTTGGATATGCTTGAAAGCGTTGTTGTGCAGTACTGTGCATCCTCAGAGATTCATTTTTTAGGTTCAGGAAAAAGGTTACATATCGCTGCTGTCGGAACAAAACCTTTTATCTCCAAAATGGTAACTTTACAGGAGAAGGAAAAACCTACTTTACTTTTAATGCAAGTCAGTGGAACCAGACTTTTTTCCAGGTAATTTTGAAAAACGACAAAAATGGAGAGGTTTTCTTCGGACAGCAGCGATGTAATACATTACGCAGGACTCAGTAACTAAATATAATACCATTCAGTACTTTGTGTGTCCACCCTTTACCTTTATTACCGCTTTATTCTTTTTGGGGGAAACCTACAGGGATGTTTTTCCACACCTCCAAAGTTCAGTCTTAGAAGTTGGTTGCATTTTTTTCTTCTATTGAGCCAACTAATCCCAAACACATTCAGTGATATTGAGGTCTGGACTGTGGGGTGGGCAGTTCATTGTTTAGAGAACGCCAACAACTTCTTTTTTCTTCTTTTTATCTATTTTCTTTTCTTATCATCATCCTTTTCACATCCTTTCTACACATCCTTTCAGACTCAGTGTCTTCTCACAGTGGAAGGTTGGACAGAAACACCTGTGGATTTTTTTTAGATCTGAAACAAGAGTGGAGCTCCTGTCTCACAGACATGAAAGCTTTAAGTACCGTTTATGTCAGGGGTTCTCAACCTTTTCCACCCCAAAGCCCATCTGTTTATAACTACAAAGCATAGCGGCCCACAGAAAAACAAAAATCAACTTTTGAAATACAACTTTCTTTTTCTTTTCTTAAATGCTGACACTGAAAACCTGAGAATTAAGGCCTGAAAAAGATCAGATCGTTCATTCCAGTTGTCATGTGAATTTGCAAAGTTTGTAGTTATGTTAAAAAAACATGACTGTAGTGATATTAAAAAAGGGGGAAAAAAGAAAAGAAAAATATAAAAATAAATAGAAATGTATGAGATTCTTAGATTTTTAAGTATTAAGTTAACTTTTTTTTCTACTTATGTTTTTATGATTTATAGTGATGTTACCAGCCCATTACCAACTGCTTCCTCCCTCTGAGTACAGGTCCGCAGACCACTAGAGGGTGCCTCACGGCCCACTGGTGATCCGCAGCCCACAGGTTGAGAAACCCTGGTTTATGTAATGGTGACAGTTTTTTTTGTGGTCTGCCAAATCTTGTGCGATTGTTAAGAATCCTGTTTTGTCTAGATCTTTTTTTTTTTTTAATCTTTTGTTGTTTTTCTTAACTCTTGGAAACTTCTTCATGCAAGTGGATTCTCTTATATCTATTCTCAGAAAAATGAGTAACTTGTTTTTAGAGGCTGTTTTCACTGGTGATTAAATAACTGAACGGTGGTCTGACTTTTGCACAGTACTGTGTGTTTATATTTCAGTGTGGTGACTGATTCTAACATAACTCTTTGTGTCTGTGTTCTCTCTACAGGCAGAGATTGTGAAGAGATTAAATGCGATCTGTGCTCAAGTCCTGCCTTACCTGTCTCCAGAGGTATTGAAGGATGGCTGTACATTCACCAGCCTTTCAATTAAACACATAATTAATTATCACTCCAGATGAATTCATGTGCTGCACATGAACTGCTTTACATTCACATTAGAGCTAGAGCTGGTAGATGTTCACGGCAACGGACATTTACATCATTTAATTAAAATCAGCTTTTTACTGCAGTGTGCAAAATGTAAAAATCAAAGTTGTTAAAACAGACAAATAGTAAAATAATAGTGGCCTTAAAATTCTCAGGCATGTGGCATATCGTTACACCATTATATGCCACAAACAAGCACAGATCATGCAAACCAAGCTAATGTTATCCCCGAGTGGCAGAGTCAGATGTTTGTCACGTTTCAAATGAAAACACAGCAGACTCTCAATCACCTCCCACTGTGTTGTTTTTGAGGCAGCAGACATAAAGGAATAGCTGGTCGTTTTGGAGTTGTCCTTAGCTTAACATGGACACAAGACCGATAGCGGTTCTTGTTTCCCATCGTACTGCGTGAGGAACTGCCTAACTCAGTCAGCATTATCAGACGATGCCACAATCAGAGCCTTGTCCACAAAACAAGCTGTAGACCAGCTGGTACTGATGGCGTGAATAATAGTGGAATGGTGGAAATTTCTTATTCCACCATCAAAGTAAAAGCAGTCACATTCAGGTGCATGTGCAGGTGCCAGTGTTAGAAATCAATATTCACATAGGTCAGGGGTGTCCAGAGTCTGGCCCCAGCGCCAGATTTGGCCTGTAGACAGATTTTAATTGGCCCATGGCTTCTGTTTTAGAGTATGTTATACATGGTCCGCCACCCAGTACGTTGCAGCTCTTCCTTTCACCTGATGGTGGCAGCAGTGTTGTAAAATTACAGTGTAATGTGTCACACTGTGGTAATAAACTAGAAAGCTAAAGTTTAATAGCCTTTATTCTCTGATTAGACCATCAGCTTCATTTACTGAACCACATTCACTCAAGACTACAGTCATAAAGCACAAACTTAACACTAAGAGCTGGCAATTTTGGCGAGATGGAAATTTGAATACTTTTCATCAAGAGCTGCAGCTAATTTGTGAGCCTCATTTCGAAAGACTGTAATGAATTTAATATCAATAGACATGAAACAAAGCATGAACATGACCGTAAATATTCAAGAGCGAGCAGAGAAACTAAAGCAGCTGCCACTACCTGAATCCCACAGCACCAACTTTTTATCAGAGCAAATTCGGTAGTTCAGTAAATAATTACCCTTTATGATTTCTGAATGCTATTGCTGCGTTTATTTGACACATAAAGAACATAAAAAAAACCCAAAGTGTACATATTTTTGTTCAGTTTGTCTCACAGATTATATTTTTGTATTATATTCAAGTAAACACTTGAATAGGAATATACTTAACTTTTTTACTGTTACACTTATTAAACAGTTATATTATTTGTCATAAGCGCATACAGATACAAATTTCTCTGAATGAGCAGTCCAACAAGAAGAGGAGCCTCATGCATCTTTTATACAGTGATAGGAAGCAAGTAGGAAACACGGAAAGCTCAGATTCTACATGCTGATATTTTGAAAACGGAATAATTTTGAATCATTCGTGAATAATATTTCGCCCTTAGGTATTTTGACACTTTGTGATCCAGCCTTCTTTGCAAAAGTTTGGACACCCCTGACATAGGTTTATCTGTACATTGTTTAGTTTTGTTTTTACTTTGCATGTCAGAAATATTTCAGATTTATTTTGTTAAAAATGGTTCTTAAATGGTTCAAAAGTGAAGGTACAGGGTAATGAGCCACTGTTAACCTATGAAAATAGGCCTACTTAAGCATCTAAAAGGGATCAAAAACCTCATAGGACAGCAGAGACAGGCAGCAATTCCAGTGTTATCACATTCAACAAGAAGGATTTTCCCCCATTCTGTTAAATGTCGAATTTGAATTATGCACAAGTTTAATATCTGAATTGTGTTGTATCCTTTTACCCCAATTTAGATTAGATAAAAACAATAAAATCAAGATTATCCATAAATTTGAAAGAAATATAGATTGTTTTGCTATATTTCCCAACCCTGCCTAGAGCTAATGACATTATGTTCTAATTAGATTCATTTTACAGTAAGAAATGTATTGACATGTTTGTTGATGTATGGACAGAGGGATGAATACGTGCGCAAGGTGGATGTGGATGGATATAATGGTGTGTTTGGGGGTGGGTGTGTATGAATGTGTAGGTGGGTGTACATGTGGGTAAATGTGGTTGCATGTGTATGGATGGCTATGCTGTTTAATTTATACCAAAACACTGGTGTGTATCTGTTTGTTGCAGCACCAGCAGCAGGTCCTGGGGGCCATTGAGAGAGCCAAGCAGGTCACCCCACCAGAGATGAACTCTATTATCAGGGTATGCTGGTCTTCATTGAAGTTGAATGTTGATAGTGGAACGTGTGTAGCTGCGCATTAGGACTCATCCAGTATTAACATTTTGTGGCTGATGCCAAAACTGATTTCATCAGCCAGTATAGTTTTGTAATTATATTAAAATTTTATGCTTTATAGTTTTAGCTAAACAGAGCTCTATTGACTAATGTGTCAACTGTTAATTGTAAAATATGATTCAGTTCTCAGTGATCTTATTTCTTAAATTCAAATAAACAGCAGAAACTCAGTCTTAAGTGTAAATATTATAGCACCGGGGGCTACCCGTAATATCCTACGGTTTTAGTATCTGATAATTGTTCTTATCTGACATCAGTTATTTTAATAGAAAATTGCTTGTGTTATTCTAATCCTAAAGGTTAGGTCTGGATTCATTTCTGTGTTTTGTAAGGCCGATACAGATTGTTCTTTAGCTGTTCTTTAGCACGATCAGCTGACACTTAAGTACTAAGGCAAAAACACCAAATATAACAACCCTAACATTGCAGCAAACTCACCTGAAATAGGTGCAGACTTACAGATTCATGGCTAAACGCTTATAGGCCTTAAACCATTTTTAATTGTATTTTGAGACACAAATAGAAGCAAGTTAAATACTTAAACGATTGTTGTAACAAACTTGTAAGCAGCCAGTACTTTCAGACAAATCCTATTAGGAAGATAAAAATTTTAATGCAGAATAAAGTGCCATGGGCACAGCTGTGCAACCGATTCAGGGATTACTGTTGAGCATCAGCTGCATGGCAGTCTATTGCTCTTCCTTAGTAAGAAGATATTTCTCATAAGATATTTGAAGCAGTGCTGAACAGTCTTTCTCTGTACATACTTGTGCAAGGCACAAAGAGGTAGACTCGAGTAATTTTGGTAAGGGTAGGAAAACCTTTACTGCTCAGCCAGTGATGTCAATATTTAGTGTACATGTTAGATGAGGAATCCACTCATCATCTCCACAGGTTGGTGACTTACTGTCAGTGTCATGTTATCTGTATTTGGTTATAATCACGTTTGAAAGTTATTGTTCTTGGTTGGATGATGTACTCTGTCATATCTCGTTAATATGGATGTGCGTTCCAACTAATTTTGGTATTCAAGTATTATGAACGGGTATCTGCATAACTGCAGAGAAGGAAATAAAAACGAAAGAGAAAAACAGATTTTAACTGAAATTAATGCAAAGCTGTGGCTTACATTTTTAGATGACATCACTGGTGTTGTGCTAAAATAGCATCATGCAGAGGAATACATTTCAGAATGTTGTATTATTTTTTAATTTTTCCACCCAACTCTGAGTGTAATCTAGTGTTAACTGGTAAACGACTCAATCTAAGCGGATTCCTCCAACAGCCAATAAAGACTGAGAGCGCGAAAGAAGAAAATACAGCAAGTGAACAAAGAAAAATGGCGAAAAGTCACGTGTGGAGCGAAGCTTTTTAATGAGCTGAGTTTAAGACATGAGCACAGTTGAGTTTATGTACATTTAAAACTTTAAAAAATAACACTGACCACATTTATAAATCCATGAGCCTCACTTAAACATGTTAACCTGCTACTTCATTACTCTGTCAGCGCAAACGGCAGAGAAAACAGCAGCAGCAGCTCCACGTTTGTTTATTTGGGTCTCCTAGTAACGAAAACGCGAGAGTTAACGTGAGTTCAGTGACAGTTTAAAAGTCGAGTAGTGTGTGATCCCTAATCGTTTAGTGTGTGATCCCCAATATTTCGGTCGCACAAAAAAATCTGCCAGTCGTGTAGTGTGCAATGCCCAGTCTTTTTATAATCTTTTAAGACTTTGAAAGTCATGTAGTGAACCCAAGGCTTAACTGGTGCAACGCTGGATGCTGATGGAAACTTGTTGTCTGTCTCTGCCTCCTCAGCCACATCCTTAAGAACGCATCTTTGGCAGACACTTGTGTTTATAAGTAGCAAAGTAGAACATAAAATACATAACATATATACTGGCAAATACAATCAAAACTTTCGAGTTTTACTGTTTTCAGCATTGGACTGAGTTGGCCTATTTACTCAGTTATGAAATAAAATGAATACCCAAATAGTAATTTTAACACATTGAATGATTAACTGAGTCACTGAGTAACTGAGTACCTGTGCACATTCATACTTGTTAACGGTGTTAAAAGTTTAAATGGTACTTAGCTTCCTGCACAAGTCACGTTAGTTTTTCAAACTTTGCAAATAATATTGGCTTGGTGTGAGTCAAATATTGTTAAAAAAACTGCTTGACTGAAAAATATTCCCTTTCAATGCATGTGGTCATGTTGGACTCTCATATTTTGTATCATTGAACGGCTGCAGTTGGCCGCATGTGGGTGTTATGAGGGAGTTTCCTGTGAAATCCAATTGAAATGTAGTCTTGGTAAGTCGGTATTTACGTAAGTAATGCTTCAGTTTTGTGGAATGATCAGAAAGTCAACGTATCATTAAGCTAATATTTTCCACAACGTTGGAAGATTAGGATTTAGGTCAATTATTACCATTTGCGGTCAACATCAGTCATTTTGGTTTATTATTATCATCCAACTGTTCGTTTTCCTGCTCGGATGTTAAATTTTGGAGGTAAACAGTTGTGCTTAAGTATATTAGCTTTTGCCGCTAGTATACCTTGTCCAGCGGGAACAATTGAAAAGCAGAACCAGTGTTTCAGACCTTTCATACCACAAATCAAGCAAACACCAGCTGCCTCCTGAATGGGTAGACACATAGCTTTGGCTGGATTCATTTGCATAAAGTTCAGCTCCGCTCAACGTATCGATGCACTGCATCCCCTAGACTCGACACACTGGACTCACACGCTGGACCCATCATCCATTGCCATTTCTCATTGAAAACAAATGGGACATGTTGTGGTGTGTTGATGTGCCGGAGCAGTGAAAATGCAGCATTAGTTCACATAGTACATCAGATGATGCCAATTTTTAAGTACAATCTCACAAGACAGACTGTGTACATTTCAAGAACCTCAGATGTTGATAGGAAGGGGTCATTTGACTGACATGCAAAACAGCCAGTCACAGTGTATTTAAAGTGCAATGAAAACAAACTTGCATGGTTTGCTGGCCTTTGAGGAAACCTCGTTTTCTTGCTATGGCTTTAAACTAAATTCTTGAATATCTTTTAAAATGGGTTAGCATGAATGTTTTTTCAGTCTAGTGACTAAACCTTGCAAAGAAAGGTTCATAGGCTTTTCATTGGCTTGCTGCTAACATTTAGCTTGGTAAATAGTCATTTATTTCAGATTAAACTAATTAAACTGATGCACTGAAGCACAGAAAGGAGCTAGAGGCAAGATTCAGAGCTGTAGTGATTTTAGCCAAAGATTGTGTTCAGGCTAATCAGTCCTCTGTGTTTTAGTGTATAGTTTGCATAGTTTGGAGCAAACATTATCTGTAATTGGTCTAAATCTGTATGTATGATACATGCAGTTCAGTTCAGTCTTCTAAAATACTAATAATACTCGTATTTAAAATAGTGAATTGTGAAACAATTTATCAGAGTAACATATCAGTGTGTTGACGTCATATACACTGATATAGCCCAACGCTAATATCGGTGTATATGCAGTCTATATCTTTTATAGAGACAGCTTCACTCCCTCCTTAGTGCGAGTACTGTCTCTATTAGCACACATCCTTTCTGTGAGGAAGAGTTTAAAATTCAAAAAAAGGCACTCAGGTTACTGTTATTGTTTTGGGGAAGATTAGGGCACTTTTGTTTTTAAGTAAGCGGCACGTTGACTCTGTCCATAATCAACACTGGCGCCTCGCTTTTTTGAAATTAGCTTTAGATTACATTGAAGACATTAATTCTGAACTTTTAAATAGAGATTTTAGGCTTTTGAAGTAGATGCACGTAGAATTGTTAATATATCAGAACTGTGTGTTTACAGTTGTCTCATCTACCCTTGCAGCAGCAGCTGCAGGCCCACCAGCTCTCCCAGCTGCAGGGTCTTGCTCTGCCCATGACCCCTCTGCCTCTGGGGCTGAGTCAGCCGGCCGGTCTGCCTGCCGTCACATCCAGCTCCGGCCTCTTCTCCCTCTCCAGCATCCTGGCCTCACAGGCCCAGCTGGCCAAGGAAGACAAGAGCGCACGGGACGCTTCGGACAGCCACCGCGAAGAGGACGGAGACAAATCCGACTAAACGACACCCTACTGTCCCCTCATCCTCCGGCGCTTACTGTACAGTGGAGGCTGTCTGTCTTTCTGCCTTTCTTTCTTTCTTTCTTTCTTTCTTACTTTTTCTTTCTTTGGCACCCTACCTTGCTCCTCATTGCTATAAATGACGGTTGTGTTTTTGACCCAGTATCATTCATTCCACATCATTCCACTAGCTTTATATACCAGTCCACCTTTATTGATGTATGCAAGTTTTGTTTTTTTTTATTATATATTTTTGTTATTTTATAGTTATTTCTGTCTGAGTGTATGTATATATCTTTATGTAAAGTATATTCCACATTCTGCCTCGTTTCCGCATGGCCAGCCTGCTCCACTGAGGCACCATCAGTGTTTCTTTGACACAGTTTTTTTTTCCCCCTCTTTTTCTTTTGCTAAAGCGACTCTCCTTTAGCTTCTCCCACTTAATTACATTTAAAGGAACAATAATCTGAAATGAATCACCTGTTAGTTGATGGTAGTAAGAAAAAGTAGAATGAGACGCATGAGGAGAAGTGAAGGCTTGTAGTAGAGTGTGAGCTGCAGAACATCTGTCTGCAGCGTTTAGAGTGGGTCTGGTTCTATTGCTGTGAGTAGCAGTGGAACCAGTAATATGACTCACAGATGAGGCATGAAAAAGTGACTTATTGCTCCTTTAAATGTCCTGTTCTGCTTTAAAGGAATATTCATTTATTTTTCAACCTAATCTCTGTATGTTGCATCTGTATGGTACTGTTGATTACCACAGATAGTGATTTAAACACATTTCTCTGGCCTTGGAAAAGAACAGAAAACGCGCTTGGTCTAAACTCACTTATAATAGAAGCCAGTGGGCAGTTGCTGAATTCTTTGAATTTCAAAAACGTGACTTTAGCCCCTTTCACACATGCACTCTTAGGACAGGAATTAAATTTTAAAGGGGACCTATTACGCTCATTTTCAGTGTTCATCATTTTATTTTACACTATGTTGCAGTGCATGCTGGGGACTGTCGTGCATCTCAGGGTGAAACGGGCTAATAAAAATAGAAAATTGAAATACTGTGTCATGGGTCTAATTTGGGCCTTGTGTTTTACACATGGGGTCTAGGCTGACCAGTTTGGCTACAGGATAACAGGCTTCTCGAGTAATATTCATTTATGCTGTGTTTGAGCTATGCTGCGTTTATTCTGCGTTTTTATGTTGGTGGTAGACAAACGGTGGTAAACTGGATATTCCATAGTTTTAGTGGAGCAGCAACCAAAAAAATCTGCTATTGATGGGGGCAGTGAAACTACTGTCCTTCCCAAAATATCAACATCTGGCAAAAGTTGGGTAAATCGAATGTTTTGATGAACAAGTTTTCCGTCACATCTCAGTTGAAAACAAAGGAATATCCGGTTTGCTTTTGTCTGTTTACCGCCAAAGTGTAAATGGAGCATTTTGACTTTTTCCCATCTTTTGCCCTTGCCCAGAGCAGTGGAATAAACCGGATATAGATTTTTTTTTTTTTTTTTATTCCCAGAAACACGGACACTGAGTGCTTGTAGTTGAGATCCAGGTGTACTCGTTCATGTACATCCTGCACTTCAATGAAAACACACGGTTAGAAACATTAGCATGTGATCAAAACACTTTTAGGGTAAAATAGAGGCTAACACCATCACCCAGCTCACACGCAGAAAAGGCAGTTATGCTTTCACATTGGCAGCACTTACATGGTGTCATGCCACCATCAGCTGTGTGCAGTTGCCAGTTCAGCTACGAGGCATGGAACAGCAGTCTTTCAGTGCCAACATGTAAGCGCAGCATCATCAGGCTTTACATTGAAATATTTGTGAAAGGATGCATACAGAGTAAAGAAAATGTTATATAATGTTTTACCATCTTCGAATAGCAGTGTTTAAGCTAAACCTAGTCGGGGAAAATGAAAAAAGTCACGTTACATCACCTACTACATACAAAAAGCTCAGAGAAAGCAGCAACGGTGTTCAGATATTATCATGGTTATTGAATAATATGAAGTGTTTTTTCATTGTGAATTAGACATTCAAATGCTGTTATTTTAAAAAAATTCAATCTCTAGTGATAAAACTGCTGCTTGCACTGACATTGTTGGCTTTCTTTGCTCACTGCTGTTTCTCTTCTCCTGCTCTGATTCGCTAGACGGAAAAGCCATTTGGAAAACTCACATTTCATAACTCATATTTCGCCGCCAACACGAATTCAACGCTCTCAATCAGACAAAATAGCTCTTACAAAAAACGACTACAGGCAGACACTCAACGACTGATGGCCTCCAACAGTTGGTTTAGTTTGGGTCCTAACAATGTAGGTTTTACAGTGAGAGAGATACAAGAGGGAATGTCTTAGCAAAGCTGTTAAGGTTTACCCAGCTTTCAAACACTGGAGCAACACAGTAAAAGATAAAGCTGTTTGGGTTACTTTTGCTTTCCCTGAAGATTTCTGGTATCCATGGAGATCAGACAGGAAAATTCTGTCTGCTTTGCTATGTTACTAATGAATTACCACAAATTTTTCATGCTGGAAAACTAGTCCCTCTGAAAGAACAATCTGAAGAATTTAAAATTAGAAGAACTCGAATTAAAAATGAAAAAATACATATTGCACATAAATGGCTCACCCAATTCAGCAACTGCCCCTTGGCTTCTATTACAATCGTGATTTGAGTCACCATGTTTTCTGTTGTTTTGTACGTACAGCTAATTGCTTTGAAATTATTGTCCGTGGTAATTGACTGTGCTACACATGCGGCAGGTAGAGATTATGTTGAAAAAGCTTTAAATTGCTGGTTTTGGAACAAAACCTCGTATCTCCATTTTAAGCGCTTTTCGTTTTTTGTCATAATTTGAAAACGCCTGTTGTTCTTTATATTGTGTGTAATATTCACGATGAATCGACCAAAAGAAACAGCCCACAATTACTTGGAGGAAAAAAGTCTGGTTCCATTGACTTACGTTAAAAGTAAAGCATGTTTTTTCCTTCTTCCATAAAGTTACCATTTCGGCGATAGAAGGTTTTGTTCTGACAGCAGCGAAATATTCCTTTAAACAGAGGATAGGGATCATTTCTAGAGTGAGGGATTCTAGGTTGCAGATACCGAAGATCTAAATAACCTGAACAGAGACAGAATAGTGGTTTGATCCCTCTTTATATATATTTACATGTTGTTTTCTAATACTTGTACGGATTATGAAAGTGTTGGTCTTTCTCCTGTCTTAGACAGAGAGCATTTTAGATAGCGGCGCTAAGATGCTAGCCGAGCAGCTCGCCCGTTCACCAAGTGAAAGGGAACACTGTTTAAAACTGATTCTTTTTTTTTTTTTATGGTATTATCTATTACTGTCCACTTGGTAAGAAACGTGTTTATATTGTTTTCCTTACAGATAAGTTGTGAGAGAAATGATGTGTGGTGGAAAAAAAACTTATTTGAGAAACAAGAAGCACCTTCTCTAAGCAGCTTTCTCCTCTTAGATGGATGTAAGCACTAAAAAAGGCATGTGCAGAAGCGCATGATGGATGAGGCCCCAGGATCCTCCATTTTAGTGACTAAAACGTAGAGCACACTGTGTTGTTTTCGAGCAAACTAGTAATATTTTACAACAGGGCTGCACAGTATGGACAGTGTAAGAATTGTGATTGTGCTACGATACATCTACTGTATGTTTAAGTGGAGTTCAACTTGATTTTTTTGAAAGTCTGCATGATTTAAATGGGTAAGATGCAAACAGATTTATTTAGAGTGATTTGGTGTGAAATGCTCTATTCTAGAGACACTTGCTCAGAATTGTTCACAGTGGTGATGATAGGAACCAGACGTCTAAAGAGTTTCATGACTCTAACAGCTTAATCACAGGGTTATTACCTGAAATGGTTAAGTATATGCTGACGAATGCCTGAGATACTGTTTTATGATCATTTCGACAAGGTTTTGGCCCAACTTTGCCACTATTTCACCATTATCATTACATATGAACACTCGGAAGACGTGTAGATTCACTGTTGAGTTTTGAGTAAATAAAATGGCTATAACTACATGGTGACCCCTGGTTCCTGTGACCACCATTGTAAAGAAATCAGACATTAAGATTTTCTAAATTGAACCATCTCACTTCAAACCAGTCTAACTCACTTTATTTACATCTCAGCCTTTGATTTATGAAAAAAGGTTCAAAAATCAGTGGAATTCTCTATTGAAATTTCATGAGTAAATCAAGAATATGACATTTTTTGACCCAAATAGTTTACTTTTGCTTGATTACATCAATACCCTGGTTGATCAGAACACATGTCTGGACCTGTGATTGGTCAGGATGCTTACAGCACACAGAAAATCATTCTGATTGGTTAGCGTGTCCATTTGCATATTACAGCCTCCTGCAGTACGAGTACCGCAAGGGCCGATATCACAGTAAAGATTAGCAAGTGTTAGCATGTGTTGTGCAGCCCTGCTTTATAATAAGGCTTGTTTATAGATGATTATTAATGCAGTAAGTGGATATAAAAGCAACATTTTTTCAAGGTCAGATTATTTTTTTTTTTTCTATCTGTTGTGCCATTTTGTCCATGCTGAAGTTTTCTGTTTTGACCAACAGGGGGCAGTAAGCTTGCAGGGAGTTAGCTCTGTTACAGCCATGATCTCTCTTCTGATTTGGAATCCCTCCCTTTTCTATTTTAAGCTGCTCTGATGGTCATTACACAAGCCTTTTTTTCCACAAAATGTCCCCTACTTCTCCTGAACGAGAAGATTAATGGTGCGTCTGAATGAAATGCACATTTATCCAATCAGCTCTGCGTGAGCTGCTTAGGTAAGAGTGAGGAAAAAAAAAAGCCAGAACGATTTGTGAATTAATCCAATTGATGTGATGGATAACCTGCAGTCAAATTTTGTTTGCTAATAGATTGTGTTGCACAACCAACCTGAAGTGCAGATCACTCCACTTAAGTGTTAAAGGATCTCAGTGCAAGAACAGGTGTACTGCTCCGGAGCTTAATTACAGGACATCACTGTGAGTTTGTTGCCCCCCACCCCCATTCTGTCTTTTAATGAGCGAATAACAGTTGATCGCATTCCTGAAGGGAAGAATACATATATATATTTTGAATATTGGAACCTGAACCCAAATTTCATTCATGTTGGACTTCAGATGTGATGCTCACACTTAAGGTCAGACGGCCTACGCATGTTCATATACTGTTTGTATATGGACGCTGCGGCCGT